GAATGCTGCCCAACATTCAAGAGCATACTTGGAACTAGTTGCCCTTGCTATAAATATGCAGAGAATTTGGACAATCAAGTCTTGATCACTCTTGAAGCTTATTGTGATGTTGATAGCCCTTGCAAGGGTTTGCAAGTAAGTTTATTTGTAGTTTAAAATTTTGACACACTCACTAAGAAGGTTATTTAACAGTATCAATATTGAAGTGTATTTGATTAAATTACCCTTATGTCTCCCATAAAACGAGTAATTAATGATCGTATATGTCTTCTTAAGACTTCTTAGCACATTAAGAGTGTAATTCGGATCTTCTTAGTTTTCTATAAAACATTCATAAATTGGAAGCTTTTGCATTTGAAACAGATCATTGTTTCTTTTCTTTTTCAAATTATTTTTCTATATACAGTGCCTAATGCTGCATTATGTTAATTTATTTCAGGTGATTAAGCTCTCCAAGGAGGAGGAGTAAAAATAAAGAGACTTGATATTTAATTCCAGATCTTATATTAGATGATTTGCTGTTAATCTTTCTGTTGAAAAGTCTTTAAACTATGGTTTAGTCTACCATGTTTTTAAGACATTGTAATTTCTAGGGGTAAACTTGTAGTGTTGTGTTTCGAGCAATAACTTGGCATATCTGTCAAATTCTTAGTACTAATAACTGTTATTGTACTCATTTTGTAGCCCGATATTCTCTACTTTTCTGCATTATCTTCTTTTCTTTTTTAAATTTCTCTTTCTTATTTCAAGATAAAATTAACGACAATTTGTTAGAATAAGAAAGTAAGGTTACCACGGTGACGGAATGAAAAAGGTTACCACGGTGACGGAATGAAAAAAACATAATGAAATCTGCAATGATTATCGTATAACCTCTTTTTACTTTCTAAATTATAAATATTTTTTATCTTGATATATATTTGTTCGCCAAATCTTATTTAGTTTCATCCAAACTTGATTTTGTTTGAATCTTCAAGGAAAAAAAGAGGAAAAATGTGATGGAATAATTAAATAATTAGTTGTGATTCCTCCAACCTTAACCGTTCGAGCTTTGAAAATAAAAAAAATGTCGAATAGAAAGTGTTTCTCCCTTATTTAAATTACTTAGCGAATTCAAATTAACAATGATTTGCGAATACAATATTCATAAAGGAAAGAAAAGGAAGAAGATTTAACCTAAATAGCAAACTCACCTAATTTCTTAAACTTAAAACATGTATTCTGTATGTTCCAGTGAATCTATTTTTTTTTGTCCGTTTCAAAAAGAATGACCCTTTCTAAATTTGGAAACAATTTTATAACTTACAATTCTACCCTTAATGAGAAGCTTTTATAACCACACAAATACTCTGGGCCCTTTTTTGAATTGTTTAGGACCACAAATTTCAAAAGTCTTTATTTTTTCTTATTAAACTCCGTACCCAGTCAAACAGGTTCACATAAATTAAAACGGAGGGAGTATAATATATGTATAACTATGTATAATCTATGTATACTAATTAGAAAAAATAAATATTAAATCTGGCCGGTTATTTGTGTAATAATCCCGGAGAAGTTTGCACTAAATAATAATGCCCGAAACGACGTCGTCAAGTCAATGACTGCAGCGACTGGAATATAAAAGATTATCATGAGTTGATTGGCTGAAGTGATTAATTCACAGTTGTATGATTGGTCATATAATGTCACCTTTTTTTTTTCTTGCTAATTATATAATGTCACGTAGATATGAGCGATTCACAAATTTTGAAATTATTGTTGAATGATTGTTAGATATGAGCGATTCACAAATTTTGAAATTATTGTTGAATGATTGTACATTTTTATATCGGATACATAAATATCGAATTTATTTTTACGCGTAATAGATCTGTTTTTTACGCATAAAAAGATCAAAAAAGATTATTTTCTGAAATTAAGAATTGTAAAAGGACATGATATACAAATAACATGATATTTTCTTCTGTTATATTGGCATAATAACTTGACCTCTTGTTTTAAATAATATTGGTACTATAAATTGTGTTTTACAACATGTCTATAGGTTGTTATTTCCGTTTATGACTAATTAGTAGGCAGTATAGCCTCGTAGACATATTGTACTTGTTCGCGTTTGTCATCTTTATTCTTGTACTCAATAAAGTTTCATCACTAGAACCCAGGTAGTTAAAAATATACTACAACCCAGTATAATCTCACTAATGGAATTTGCTGAGGATAGTGTGTACGCAGACATTACCCATATCCTGGGGTAGAGAGACAGTTTCCGATAGACCCTCGGCTCCCTCCCGACAAGAACTCCCCACCTTGCTTTTGGGGTGACTCGAACTCACAACCTCTTGGTTGAAAGTGAAGGGTGCTCACCACTAGAGCAATACACTCTTGTCTTAGTTAAAAATATACTAGTACATCATTTATCAAAGAGTTTGAACAATTATTTTTGGATTATCAAATATTTGAACAATAAAAATAGATAACGAATGTATGACAAATTGGTCAGGTCATGTAGGTCAGAGACCTTGAGTTATTTAATCGTGAAAATTAAACAATTTTATAAGGATTAGACGCTTACACTTGATTTGAATGATTAATAAACTAAAATAAAAAAGGTGAAAGTAATGTTAGTATAAGCATTTAAATTTTATCGAATCTCAATCGATAAAATAATTTGGATTATATTTTAAATTCAAGATATTTTAGTCCAAACAAAATTTATTGGGCTAATATTTACATAATTCAATATATATGGATTAAATAAATAAGTACAAATTCATTGGGCTAACCCATTTAATTGGGTTATAAATGATGAGCCCATTTCTTTAGGCCCAAGATATCATCTTCCTAGAAGCCCAGTTTGATGCCACACGTGAAATGGCGTGGCATGCCAAGTCAAGCGGAAGAGCCAATAGGATCGTGCCATGTGTCAAAATGACAATGCATGCCAAGTCAAATTAAAGAGCCAGTGAAACTATGCCACATGTGCAAGTGACATATTTTGGCCAATCAAATGCGGCCTTGTCACACTTCACTTTGATTGGTCGGAAAGAGTTTGTTCTTATCATAACTCTTCCCTCCCACAACTAAAAATATGGGTCTTTATAACTCAGAGAAGACACCAGAAGTTATAACAAGAAGCAAGAAAGAGCTCGTGGATCAAACGCTGCAAATTCCTCCACAAGTTTCAAGCTTCAAGCAATCAAGCTCAAACTCAAGAACGAAGAACAAATCAAGATTCAAGGAGTATGAATTCAAATCAAAGTTCGTGCTAGTTGAATTCAAGATCATCATTCGTGACAACAAATATAGGTTCAAGATCAAGCCCAAGGCCCTTGAATTTATTTACTATTGAAAAGAAGAATCAGAGGATTCATAGAGATTGTACACTCAAATTATTTGAAATCAAATACTACAATTGTTGAAATATTTTTTGTCTCGATTATTTTTCCTGATGCAAATTTATTGTCTACAAATTCTGGCATGCCCAGTGAGACAATCTCTATCACTCATCTTAACTTTTCAATCACCAAAGTTCAAGAACATCGAAATGGCTTCACAGAAAATTAACTCCAAATCAACTTCTAATGAGGCTGCTAATTCCAAGTTCTATGTTGATGTGGAAAGCATCCTCGATGTTACCTTTGAAAGTTTTGGGCCAGTTACAAGGAGCAAAGCAAGCTCTTTAGGACAACAAGTACTCCAAGTGTCATTCACGTCAACCCCTATTTTCGGATCTTCATCTTCAAAAGGAGCAAGACCCTCTACAAGCACGATCCAAAAAGGGAACGATATCACCAAAAGGATCGAAAAGGTTCTTGTCCAACTTAGTTTATCTAAGTCTAAGAAACCTTTCATACAAGCTTATGATGATAACTTGAGCGCTGGATCTACTTTAGTATCCATTAATGCGACCTCCAAGCTCTATCCCAATAATGATCTATTTCATTTTTCATCCTCTACGGACATCATGCAAGCAATGGTTATTGAAGTTTCTACCGTAAAAGAACAACTCGCAAATTTAACGAAAGTAGTCGAAGGCTTGTCAAAGCGCGTGCAAGATCAAGATTCTAAACTTTTCAATTTAACAAATAAGTTGGATAGCATAGTAGAAGAAGAATACATACAAACACCTTTAAATCTTCAAAGGTTACAAGAGAAATGGGACACCTCCGAAAAGCAAGCAACGACAACCAAGGAGATTCAAGTTCCCGCTGAAGGTCTGATTCCTATTGAGAAATTAAAAGACTTCATCATGGAGACCATTAAAGATAAGCCCGAGTCGTCCAAATTATCTCTCACATATGCAAAGTCGTACACCCAAATAATTGATAACTTGAAGATGCATGTTGGTTATCAACCTCCTAAGTTGCAACAATTCGATGGCAAAGGAAACAACATATAGCACACTTTGTAGAAACTTTCAACAATACTGGAATGTATGGCGATTATCTTGTCAAACAGTTTGTGCGATCTCTCTAAAGTAATGCATTCGATTGGTACACAAATCTCGAATCTGGTTCCATCGATAGTTGGGAGCAGTTGGAGAAAGAGTTTCTCAATCATTTCTATAGCACAAGATGCATCGTAAGCATGATCGAACTTACAAACTCTCATCAACGAAAGGATGAGCCAGATATTGACTTTATCAACCGCTGGAGGAGCTTAAGCCTCAATTGCAAAGATCACCTTAACGAAACTTCTAACATCGAAATATGCATTCAAGGCATACGTTGGGGTCTTCGCTATATCTTACAAGGCATAAAGACCAAAACATTTGAAAAACTATCAACTCGTGCTCATGATATGGAACTAAGTATGGCGACAAGTGAAAACCAAGAGCTACCTGTCTTTGAGCCTTATAATGAAGAGGAATGACGAAAAAGTGCAAGTTTTTGTAAAAAAAA